AAATAAGGCATGCAACCATTTTAAAAATAAATCACGTGTAACTCACCATACAGGTCATAACTCCAAACCGTTYCTCGAAGTTCCTCATGTTCTCCCAAAAAAACGCATCAAACTTGTTGCGCTTCACCAAATCATCCTCATCTTTCACGACTCTTATACGAGTTTCCTTCCCCGAGAATTTGTCATCTCTATGCTTGAAGACTTCCCCATATATATACTTAGTAATCAGCGATTTCACGGAATATGAAACGATAAGCCATAATTAATGGTCGTAGATTTCATGACCATTGAGTTTCCTGTCATTAAATTACAATTAATTTATTTCCTTTTTTTTGTTATTACAAACTTTCCCCCTTAACAAAATTTCGTCCTCGAAATTTGCCCTATGCATATAAATGAGGACATATCAATCTCGTCCCCTTATCAAGTTCACAAGTAGCCTCCGAACCATTATGACGTCTTCATTGAACATTCACGAGAGAAATCTCTTTGCTTCTTAGTTTTTTTTAATCATCTTTTCTTAACATCCTTAATAGTTACGACTTTCTTTTTGCCTACTAAACACTTTCTTCAATTAGATATATTGTGCCATAAATTTCACCATACCAACTATTTTATTGTCTGATGTTCTTAACATCCGTTCATCTTTTTGGGAATAACTTATTGATTTCCCAATAATCTTCTATCCATCGCTAACTTGAGCATTATTTTCTAATAAACGATGCACTACCTTCGATCCATCCATCTCTTTTATTTTCGATGTTAGTTCGACAAACCGGCTGACATTTATCACATAACTCTTCGAGTTGCTCTACTCGAGTACTCCTTTGATAGTCATTAATTATAAGTGAACGCATTCAAGTCTAATCAGTTATTCCAAATGTCACTAAAGGTTACCCCACATAGATACCACCCTGTTATTATTATCTACAAAATATGGCAACATGCAAGCATTCATCATATTCTTCGTAAATTCTTTCATAATTCAATTATGCATCTAACATCACACATTTTCATATTCATGCATTTWTACATACATGTGCTTTTCTCTTGCCCTTGAGATGTCTTTTGCTATTGAGTATAGGCTATAYAATCCATTCTCTAGATAATGCCTCCATATTTCGAACTCCACTATCACTGCTACTAATTTCAAATCATACATTTTCAATTACCATGACATAAATACTATATCATTTCCTTTTTTCACCGACATACCTCATAGTTCCAATATTGTAACGTCATTATATACAAAAAAAAAAAAAAGAATCATCTGTCTAATCTGGCAGTAACACTCTTGGCATACTTCTCGTTCTTCCTTCCGATCTCTGGCATACTTCATTTGCTTTCCAGCCCGATCAAGTTTACGATATTATATGGTTACATTACATGCTTCATGATAGTTGATGTACATTCAGTCTTCCTGACTACATAAACATCATTCATCTTACTCCAATTTTATCACTTTCAGATCATGCTAACATTAGCAATTATAGATACCAAGATGATGATGTTCACCAAGTAACTTATTATATTTTCATATTTTTTTCTCTAACCTTTTATCAATTCAACTATCTTTACTTTCAGTTTTACCTTTAATATTCATTCCTTCATCATTTTGTGGCATCTAAAACATGCCAGTCATTCTTTGAAGGATTTTGATTTAACATAGTATTCTCTTACCGATTCCAGTGCCCATACTTTCTTTCATTACACTAGAGATTTCTTACTGGTAGGGCTATTTTTTACACCGATAATGCATTAATCTGCACATTATCATTTCCATTCTTAAGTTTTTTTCTAGATTCCTTTATCATTTCACATTTGGGTGATGTGCTTAACGATAACAATACTGTGTTTGCTGTTGACTTCGACCAAGTTATTAATCGACTACCAACCCTTAAGTTATTTCAACATTTCATCAGATTCATATTCAAATTTATCCTTCTGCAATCATAGAAATTAACTTAACCCATTTTTCATTTATATCATCATTGTGTTCATCCTAGAGTCTAGTCACAACTGTCTCTTTTGACGACAAATACGTACCATCAGTCGACTTCGTTACTTGTTTTACCAACTAATCAATTAACTCCCCTTTCATAACACACATGCCACCATTTGGTTCTAATGACCCAATTCATACCCTTATATATATAGTCATTCTTAAACAAGGCATTTTGTAGTAACCTTTTATATGCTCGTTGATATATAGGATATTATGCCTTATTCATAACATTGATTGTTCTAAGTGCACATCCTTACTTATTTTATCACCTTCAACTTATATTGCAACTCACTTATCTTTGACTTAATGCAAAATATCTCATGCAATTTTACACTATTCTAGCTTTGATGTCTTTCTAGCTATAATTATGAGAACAATTCCAAAGCCCCCTTTTTATGGCTTAGAGGTTACACGCTTGGATAAACCTTATTATTTAACCATAAAATATTTCTTACTTACTAAACCTAATACATGATTACAATCATTAACATTTTTTTTAACAACCTTCTCGCTTTTATATCTTGCTCAAAGCAACACATGCTTACTAACAGTAGTTACTTTCATCAAATCAAATAAGTTAAATCATTCCCCTAACCCTAACCATCAAGAAAAGGCACATGTAGGATAATGAAATTGTAGTTTCCAACAAGACTAATCAACCATAGTCTCATACATTCCAAAAGCATCTCACACACCGATATGGTGTCTTTTCTTTAAAGAAACTAATCCCGCAAGAACCCTTAGATCTTCTCATTTGGTTTACATATTAATTCGACATTTCAACTCTTAATTGTAAAATCCTTCGACTAGTCATGCACCTAATCAAGATCGTCAGTTCTTATCATGGATCTGATGTCATCATTGATTATACGAATGACTTCACTGCTAATCTCATATCTGACTATTTGATCTTTCCTCCAATTGATATAAGAAATGATCTCCCAACTCAAATATGGGATGAATCAACTCACTGTATCATCAATACCTTGAGTTCCTACCATTCTCAAAGCCAAACATATGCTCTCCCCGCTAAAGAAAGTTAGTGCAGTTTGTAACCAAAATTTTATCCACCAACACCACTTTATATCTATTTTATCTCATCTTACCATGTGTTTTGCATAAACACATCTCTATCAATGTCATTATATCCAAGGATATTAAACCATCTAACGACTTCTCTGCTTTAATCTGGTTTAAGACTAACCCCAAATTAACTTGAATCACCACTCTTATCACTACACACATCTATCAATAATAAAATCTTCCATTCTCAGTTTAAGTTTAGGTATCAGTAACCTAATTCACTTAAACTTTGCTCTGATATCACTAGTAACATCCCAAAATTTCGAATACGTAAATATATCAAAACTGGTATCCCAAGATCAAACACTTACATTGCAGCGGAAATAAAATTTCTAATCTTACAAATTATATCACCATCTAAATTACAATCTTGAGGAGCATAACTTTGCTCTATAACAATGCCTTGATCTGCACATATCCTTCTTTGAAGTTAATCCTTATCTCTCTTTATTGCACTTTTCTTTCCACTCAAAAGTCGCCTGGGTAAAAAGTTTTAAAAGAGTTTTGGGTGAGCCTTAGGCCCAGTGAATCCACGATTTTCATGCATGAACAACAACTTTTATAATAAACAATTTTCACGAAGCTTCATAAAATTAGCATGCCTTGATGAGAATAACACTTTTCACAATATAAATATATTATAGTGCGTGTCTACATCACAAAGCAACAACGTCATGAGAGATGTCTACCTCACACAGCATTACCTGGCGAACTCACACAACATGTCCGCACTTACGGTTTAGACAAGCTCACAAAGCATGCTTGTCTTTACAAAATCATACCGTAGTACATCCCCATTGACACACAAATACACAAAACACATATTATAAAAA